GGTAAAAAATGCATTAGATGTAATTGAGGTCCCCGCACTATTCCCCACACTTTCCCCCGCACTTCTGCGTAACTGGTATTCTCTGAAGCGTCCATGTCGTCCGTGCCATAATTAAGTGACCAGAAACTAGTCTACGTCAAGCTTAGAGTGTCACTGCAGAGCAGTAGAGTCGACCCCTAGTTAGCACCTGACAGCTCTTTGCTTATTGAGTATGTTCTGCCTCACTAATATTATTTTGCACAAGCATTGCAAAAATAAGCACAGGTGTTTGGTATCTTGAGGAAACCTGGTGCTTGGGTGTTGAGATTCGAGTGTCTAACTCAGGAGCATCGTGGAGACTGAGAACCTGGAGGAGAGAGTGGTGGTGGTGTCACGCATCATCGAGATCCTGCAGGTTTTCCAAGAGCTCAACAACTTCAACGGCGTGCTGGAGGTGGTGAGCGCCATGAACTCCTCGCCTGTCTACAGGCTGGACCATACTTTCGAGGTAAGGAGTGATCACCGTAATAATACACTTTTGGTTTTGGTTTGGAGGTGATTTTGGTTATGGATTGTTGGAACTAAATTTGAGATAACATGAAATCACCTTTTATAGGTATTAGAAACTATAGTAAACCAAACAAGAATATTTACCCCTGATAAAAATACTAAGGGATAAGGATTTTGTACTGTAATTCCCAGCAAATCCAGAGCCGTCAGCGGAAGATTCTGGAAGAGGCGCATGAGCTGAGCGAGGACCACTACAAGAAATATCTGACAAAACTCAGGTCTATCAACCCCCCCTGTGTGCCTTTCTTTGGTATGTCCCACGCAGCCTAATTGCCATGTACCTGTCAGAGTTATCTGGTGTGAACCTTCGAGCAAAACCTGCATCATTCTACCTTCTGTACCAGGAATCTACCTAACAAACATCCTGAAGACGGAGGAGGGAAACCCGGACTTCCTGAAACGCCATGGCAAGGACCTGATCAACTTCAGCAAGCGGAGGAAGGTGGCCGAGATCACTGGGGAGATCCAGCAGTACCAGAACCAGCCGTACTGCCTGCGGGTAGAGAGCGACATCAGGGTCAGTACCCTCGCTTCGCAGCCTCCTGTTTCAGGTCTGCATCATTTCCGATATTGTTCCCCTCTGTCTCTTGGGAAACGCAGAAATTCTTCGAAAACTTAAATCCCATGGATGACATGATGGAGAAGGAGTTCACAGACTACTTGTTTAACAAGTCCCTGGAGATTGAGCCGCGGAGCGCCAGGACCCTGCCCCGATTCGTAAGTGCCAACCACCGCATCTCCTGGGTCATCTGTTCCTTTTTGGTGTGAAACGAGAACATGGATGTCTCTGCACTGCGGTCAGTGGCTCCAGGTGGAACAGCAACCAAAGCGTTGTGTCTCATGATCCTTCCTGTATGGAAAGTTCAGCGTTTAATGTGGAGAGTTAGATTTAATAGAGCATCCTGTGTGAACAGGGTGTGTGTGTGTGTGTGTGTGTGTGTGTGTGTGTGTGTGTGTGAGAAGTCGTCCGTTGGACGGACAGCAATAAGATCTCTCACTACAAACTGTTGTGAATGTCCAAGATATGAAAATGAAATGAGCATTTTGCATTTGCTGATATGGAATTTTTTTTATAAATAAAGATGTATTTTGGCGCTTATAGATTTAGGGGAATGTTTATTTCATCCTGAAGTGTAGCAGGGCTGAGGTCTTATAGAACAGTGTGTCTCAGCCTGGGGAACCCCAGACAGTCCACATTTCTGCTTCCTCCAAGCTCCCAATACGCCGGTACCAGGTCTGCAGTGTTCTTGATTGGCTGGGAGCTGGGAGGGAGCGGAAATGTGGACCGCCTGGACGTCCCAAAGGACTGGGTTGAGAAAGGCAGTTCTAGAACATTCCAAGGAAACAGTGATGGGGTGAAAGCTGTACTTGAGGTTAGATGGGGGGGTGTGAAGCCAGGTGTCTTAACACGCCTCCCACCCCCCACCCCACCTGCAACAGGCGAAAAAATATAACTATTCCCTGAAGTCCCCCGGGGTGCGTCTGTCAAGCGCGCGGCCTGGCACCATGCGGCACCCGACGCCGCTACACAGCGAGCCGCGCAAGATCAGCTACAGCCGCATCCCCGACAGCGAGGTGGAGAGCGCAGCCTCGGCGCCCAATTCGCCCCGCACCCCGCTGACGCCGCCGCCCGCCTCGGGGGGCTCCAGCGCCACCGACATCTGCAGCGTCTTCGACTCCCCCCAGGGCCCGTCCAGCCCCTTCCACTCAAGTAGGTCCCTGCACACGTGGCCGTCAGACGCGCAGCTCGGCCGGCGTGTCAGCCGAGCGCCGACAGACTCCAGTCTTTATCTCTCGGTGCGATTCAACTTTTAAGATCCATGCAGTTTGTCACGTGCAGCGTCTGTTCACTTCCCCAGATGCTGTACAGAAGGTCAGTAAGTGTTTACAATATACATACCCACCAGAGATAAAAATATTTAAGTAAAAATAGAAGTTTACAATGTAAAAAATACACACATGCACAAACACGCGCATACGATATCCATAAAAATATAATACACCCACAGATTGCACAGCACATTACATACGTATGCTCTCGCGTTCCTGGAACCTTACCAGTAATACACTAACACTAGTTCATGCTTTTAACCTGCCCAGCTAACGTCACTAACGCAGCTTAACTGATTTACAGCGGTTCTCTCTTCTACCAGGCTGGTCCTTTACAATAAGTTGCCTGTTTCTCCAGCCCGCTGTTTGGGGCCAGTGGGTAAAATGTCTGCTTTTACGCTGCAGACCTGCGGCCGGGCGTTTCTGTGAATGTTTGTCAGCATTTTAAAAATATAAATCCCACAGACATTTGTGTCGCCTAGGCAGAGGCGTCTCTGAACTGTTTCAAGTTCCTAAGCTGAAGAAGTCGGTCCCAGTTGGTCTGGATGTTAATGTTATTGTTAACTGTCCACAGACTAGTGTCTCACTAATACTGGGGTCTGTCTTCCTTGGGGTCTGTGTTATCTGAGCTGGACTTGTTTTGCTGGAAAGGGCCCCCCCCCAGGATACCTTTTAATTGGCTCCTGATTGGCTCCTTAACATCACTTGAAGGGGCTCACTGTAATTTGGCAGTTCAGAAGCCCTGCAGACCCTCTGGCCTTGGAAGATGAGGGTTAGGCCTCCTGCTGTCCCCAGAGCGATGGCAGGGGGGGGGCCACTCTGCTCTCAGCCTCTCTCCTCTCTCCTTTCTGCAGACAGCGAGCCGATCTTTGTCCCGATCTCGCTGCCCCATGGCCCACGTTAGTATGAGCTTTCTGTCTCGATCCCCACGGCTGGCGTCGATTCTGTCATCCTGCTCTGCTGCTCACGTGTTGGCTGCCTGGCACCATGCATGTTGTGCCCCCCCCCCCCCCATGTGCTGCCTCCTCATCTGCGTAACATCCATTATTAAACCCCCCCCCAGCTCCACCCCCCCATCTATGTGTTTATCTTTTCCTCTATGAAGTTCAGCTGTGTGTAGCCCCACTACAGCCAAAGCAGACCCTAATTTGCAGCCTAATGGAATCGCTGGAAGGTTTGGCTTTTCCCCCCCCAATCGTGTCGTCCTGACGACATGATGCGAAAGTTGTTCATTGGCCACTGCTTGGAGTTTCAAAGTGTTGACAAGTGTGTTGCCGGGTCACACCAGAGTCGTTCCCATCGTCCGCTGCACCTGCTGTATTTGTGCTGCTGAAAGCCTCGGAATTTGTATTCGTCTGCTTGTCGTCGTGTCCATGGCCTCTCTGGATTCGCTTCACCATCCCGCGTCCATGCACAAGTGTTCTGTGGTTCACCATTTGATGTGAAGTGATGCTGCTCGGAATCTCAAAAACGACATTGTGTCTGATTTCAGTCGACTATTCTGACGGTATTTATGTGGTGATACGTCGTCCTTGGTGGGTTGACAGTACACCTGTACTGTCCTTCAGCAAAACCCTTAACCCCCAGTGGCTCCAGGGATTCTGACCATGTTTTCTCAGACATGTGCGTTGCTTTGAATAAAAGCATTTTGTTGTAGGAAGTCGTCATTTCAATGCCCGCTGCCCAACCCTGATTTTCCATTCGCCCCGGCAGTAACACACTGGCACCTTTCGTGTTCAGCGCCATGACACCGCGGTCCAATGAACTTGGCCGAGGTCTGAAGAAGTTGCTTTTGCCTCGTCCATTCCCAGGATCCTCCTCGGTCTCCTCCATGGCAAGCTTCAACCGGAGCACCGAGGACGCCCCTGTGCCCCCGCCGGTGCCCCCCCGCCGGCGGCCTGAATCTGCGCCCGCTGAGTCGTCGCCCTCAAAGGTCTGCCATGGGGATGTGTTTCTCTGCCTCATTTGTGGGGATGTGTTTTTCTGCCTCATTTGTGGGGATGTGTTTCTCTGCCTCATTTGTGGGGATGTGTTTCTCTGCCTCATTTGTGGGGATGTGTTTCTCTGCCTCATTTGTGGG